AGATCAGACTCCACAGATGTCTATCAACACACATTAATCAGGGTTATGAAAGTTGCAAAGATCTGTGGAGTGTCTGCAAAGAGTGAATTCTAACTTCTGTTTTGGAGATGTTTTGTGAATTGCTACATAGTGTATTTTTTTATCTTAAAGAGAATAGTAGAAAAAAGAACATAACAAAATACAAACAAAACAAAGCAAAAACGTTAAAAATGATACAGGGTTTCAAGCCAAATAATAGGAATTAACAATGGTTGTTATATTACATATTGTTATCTTCAACAAAGTTGCTCAGATTACCAGATGTAAGAATGGATGATTGATCAAATCATTAAAGAGAGTAAGAAAATAATAATTTAAAGAAACATATGGACAATACAGAGTTTCACTAGACAAGATAACCACTGTGAATTCCTACCTGGTGTATTAATATATCAGATTGGGAAAGGAAACAGAACTATTGTCAAAATGAATCTTTCTTAGGTAAAGTGCACAGATAACAAAATTCTCATAAGAATTTACATAGTTCTAATCCTATTAAACTAGAAAATGGATTAATATTAAGGAGTCACAGTGGTCCTGTGATATAGATACTATTATCATCCTATTTTATAGACACAGAAAGGTCATGCGTTTTTCCAAAGTCACAGAGCCAACAAAAGTCACAGCCAATACTCAGACTAGGTCCTCTGTCTCCAGAGTTCATATTTAACCACTCCACAAAACATTTCAGAAGTTACCAACATAGAGATTTGACTTTATAAAAGAAAAATCTTTCTGTTAATTGCAACTTCTCTCAAACAGAAGGAACTTCCTCATGTGGCTGAGAGTTTTACACCTCCAGAAGAATTCAAATAGAAACTGAAAAGAAGCCTTGCTTGTTAGAGTCGTACTTCTAACTCTTTGCAAATATAAAGGTGATCCCTGAATCATCAGTGACACCTGGACACTTAGAAGATGAAGATTCTGGAGCCCTAACCCCACCTGCTGAAGCAGAACCCACATTTAAGCTAACTTTCCAGGGGAGAAAATAATCCAGATACAGGGTTTGAAGCATCACAGGTTACTGTGCCCCATCGTAAACCTGCTAAATAAGAATCGCTGGAGCTGGTTATGTGCATTAAAATGTATGTGTCAACTTGACTGGATTAAGGGATGCTAAGGTAGTGGAAAAAACAGTGTATCTGGAAAAGATTATCATTAGAACCAGTGGACTGAATAAAGAAGATCTGCTTTCCCTGATATCGATGGCAACAACCAATTCATTGAGGGCCAGACAGAACAGAACAAAAAGAATAAGGAA